TTACTACGTAAACTGATCTAAAATTTACTCTTTCTCAACTTTACTATAGGTTCATTATATATTAAGCTTAAGATGAATATGGATTATATGGGTAGGGTTTGAACAATATTAAAATAATTCTGAAAAAAACATCTTATCGGAAAAATTTTTAACTATTGAGGCTAAGTATAGTGATACATTTGTGTTCAAATTTTCACGGTTCATCCGAAACTTAATCAAACTTAAACGTCAAACTTAAAAAAGAGAGATTTTCAGTAAATAGGGAGGCAAATTTTTTCTATTGCAAGGTACTTCAGCAGTTAAAGCTGTTGGTTACAATACCTTTATGGATGCATGCTGGTCGGAAAAAAAGGGAAAAACCTCATACTCGCGACAAACCTTACCTACACACAAGGTCTATGGGCTGAAGAATCTTTTTGAAAAATCATGTCTGCTAATGGTTTCTTGATATAATTCCGCTTTCAAGCTACAGATTGCGTTGCAATAATTTAAAATAAAACATCCACCTCACTTTTAAAAAAGTGAGGTGGAGTTTTAGTTCTTAGTATTTTTATTTCTTTTACTAGTTTTATTATTTGAGTATTTGTTTTCTTTTTTTCATTACAATAGGGAACTGGTAAGCTGTTGAGTTCATGGGGGAAAATCCGTCTCTAGTCCAGGTAATATCGGTTTTTTGTCTCGCCATTTTGTTTTTCCTTCGATTTTTCTGATCCATTAGCTCTTTTTTGGTGGACTAAGCATTGCTTTTGTTTTTATGTTGGTGAGGTCTTCAACCAGGTTCATTAACCACAGGGTGTAAATAAGTTTTATTGATTTTACGTGTAAAATGTTCATATTTTGAAACATTTATTGTTGTAAATCGACCATATTTCGTTCCTCATACTATTCCTTATAACGTTTTCAAATTTTCAACGGCTCCTCTCATAACTTAACACCGAGTCACACAACGCATGACGCTTTCATGAACTAATCTATGGCTTTCTCTCGAGACGTGAGCTTGGGCCACCTTTGGTGAGGCCAGTCCCATCTTTATTACCTTTCCTTCCTTTTGAGACAACAAGCACTCAATTGAGGTTATTTTTTTTCTTTGATGCAGGCCTTAGTCTATCCTCATGATGTGGCATCCTCTGTCGATGGAAGTGTTGTCTATGTGGTAGAGATTAGTCCCAATATAATTTTGAAAATGTCGTCAAAACGTCAAGTCGGTTGGTATTTGTTTATTATTCAATGTTCTTTCAGATTCTTTCAACAAGACTTTAACTACTCCATTGAATATTGTATCCGTTAAAACAGGTGAGCGTGTGGTCAGTCAAGGCTGTCACTCCATTCTAGGAAAAAGTATGGACGAATTTAGTCCTCAGCAGAGAGAGAGAGTGAAATTACGTCCACAAAAGGCAAGTCATCTCACCGAGCGTCTGCCGATCAAGAAAAACTATAAAAATATGGTAAGGACCCTTCACTTCCCTCTGTTTCAAGGACTGGTACCATTTGACTGTCCAGTACAAACCCAACAGAAACAGTTACTGTGAAAAACAATTCTGCTAGTGGACCGCAAGACGACACTTCGAGCGGGGACAGCAATGTTGAAATAACTGCGGTATCATTCCCGCTCTCATCATCCTGTCAGTCCTAACAGTTCTTACTGTGTTTCTGTTCCTTATCAGTAATAACCCTACGCGTGCGTGCCTATCGCCGAGACAAGCGCAACCAAATGAGTGATTTCCATGGAGATCGGAAAGATTCTTCGGCGGGGAGGACAAGGAGATGGTGGTCTTACATGAATTGCTTTGACAGGCAAAAGTACACGTTTAACC